GGCTTGCAAGTTAAGCAAAAAAAAAAAAAAAAGTGACTTATAGGCCGAAAAATACGGTAAATAACAAGAACCCAGTTAAACAAATGAGACAAAAATATTATACTTGGGCATTTATTTATTGAGGAAAAGTATCCAGTATTACATATTTGGGAGTGGCAAAAGTATGGGAACCTCTAGGATTAGGAGTTAGTTTGAAGGAGAAATTAGAGTCAGGCGTTTTTAATTAATGGGATGATGACCAAGTGTGAGTGGGCACCCTGTATGATTTAAAGAACAGGGATCTATCAAAGTCTGCTCTTCACAACATGTTTGTGGAAGTGTGCCATGGCACAAACAAAGGCGATTTCTGAGGAGCTCAGAAAAGGAGTTGTTGATGCTCATCAGGCTGGAAAATGTTACAAAACCATCTCAAAAGAGTTTGGACTCCACCAATCCACAGTCAGGCAGATTGTGTAGAGATGGAGGAAATTCAAGAGCATTGTTACCCTCCCCAGGATTGGTGGACCAACAAAGATCACTTCAAAAGCAAGGCGTGGAATAGTCAGCAAGGTCACAAAGAACCCTAGGGTAACTTCTAACAACTGAAGGCCTCTCTCACATTGACTAATGTTGATGTTCATGAGTCCACCTGTCACAGTCTGTCCCCTAGCTGTCTGCTATTTCTGTCTTCCCCTTTTCTGCTTATTGTATTTATGTCATTCTGCTCTTTATACTTTTGTGCGATTCTGTTCCTGTTTCTGATTCTGTTTTCTGTCACTTTCCACTCACTCCTCAGTGTGCCTCTCCAGCCCTCAGTCTTTATCATTCACACCTGTCTCTCATCAGCCACCTGCTCTCATTACTCACTCTCCCTCTGTCTTATAAAAAGCCTTTTTCTCCTCCACTCATCGTCTGGTCATTGTCCTGTTTTACACAGACTACACGGTCCTCCTGTCTCTGTTTCCGAGTTCCCGTCCGAGTCTGTACCCGTCCTGTTTCGCCTGCCTGTCCCTGTGTTTTGTCTGATCTCAGTCCTAAGTTTTTTTGGGTTTTTTTTGCTGCCATGTCAGCCTTTTGTTTTGCTGTTTAAAATAAATTATTTTTATTTTAAACTCCTGTCTCCGCCTGCCTGCTTGCAAATGGGTCATAAACTCAAAGATTGTGTCACCACCATCAGGAGAACACTGAACAACAATGGTGTGCATGGCAGGGTTGCAAGGAGAACGCCACTGCTCTTCAAAAAGAACATTGCTGCTCGTCTACAGTTTGCTAAATATCATATGGACAAGCCAGAAGGCTGTTGGAAGAAAGTTTTGTGGATGGATGAGACCAAAATAGAACTTATCGGTTTAAATGAAGTGTTGTGTTTGGAGAAAGGAAAACTCTGCATTTCCGCATAAAAACCTTATCCCATCTGTGAAGAATGGTGGTGGTAGTATCATGGTTTGGGTCTGTTTTGCTGCATTTGGGCCAGGATGGCTTGCTATCATTGATGGAACAATGAATTCTGAATTTTATCAGAAAATTCTGAAGGAAAATGTCATCTGTCCATGAACTGAATTTCAAGAGAGTCAGAGTCAGAGATTCTTTATTGTCATTCGCACCTCATGTGGTGCATGTGGTGGAGCGAAATTATGTACACAGGGTCCCAGTTACATCCAACCCTGTGTACATAATTTTGCTCCACCACATGTACCACATGCACCACATGCACATGTAAAAGAGAAGGTGGGTCATGCAGCCAGACAGTGACCCTAAGGTTGTTTTCACACCTGATATTCGAGTAGACTCGGTTCGGGACCAATATTCATGACATTTTGTTTACATTTGAGCTGGTGAGTTTGCATTCGCACTGCACTGTGCAGTCGAGCCAACCTGTTGAACCAACCTATTTACCCGCTCGCCTGTGGGGGCGCTGCACCAATAACTACTGAAAGAAACAACACAAAAACCTCTGAAGACACTTCTTCTTCTGGAAATAAAAACAAAAATGGAGTGGCTTCAAGTTTTAGCATTTTTAGGAGTTATATTTTGTCATTTTAAAAAAATTGACTCAGTATGAGCAGAAGATGAGGCAGAAGACCATGGAGAATATTGTTTTTCACACAAGGCAGCTGACGGCTCCATATAAGGTCAGAGAAATGCATGTTTGTTTGTCCTGCGCTGTACTCCACTTCTTGCTTGTGGAGCGGGGCCCAGTCTGTTTACATTCACACTGTACTCGAACCGCCCTGGAGTTCTCTTCTACTGGACCGAGACCTAGGTTTTAGCCCGGGCCATATTTCGCCTTTTTGTTCCGTGACAGAGTCCGATGGCGCGTTCACACCTCCCCAAACGAACCAGACTTTCTAGGAAAACAGCTAGAGTTCGATTAAAGCGGACTAAACAGGGCTGGTGTGAATGCACCCTAAGCATACAAGTTGTTCTATCAAAGCATGGTTTAAGAAGAATAAAGCTAATATTTTAGAATGGTCAAGTCAAAAGTCCTGACCTTAATCCAATCTAAATGTTGTGGAAGGACCTGAAGTGAGCAGTTAATGTGAGGAAACCACCAACATCCCAGAGTTGAAGCTGTTCTGTACGAAGGATTGGACTAAAATTCCTCCAAGAAGGTGTGCAGGACTGATCAACAGTTACTAGAAATGTTTAGTTGCAGTTATTGCTGCACAGGGAGGTTCACACCAGATATTGGAAGCAAAGGTTCACGAAAAGGCTTTGCACAGTGTTCAGCATCTGCCATCATCAATGCAAGATCTTGGTGAAAAATTAATGCATCACTGTATGGAAATAGATCTTGTGACATTGCAGAAGCTTATTGAAACAATGCCACAGTGAATGCATGCCGTAATCAAAGCTAAAGGCGGTCTAATGAAATATTACTGTGTGACCTTTTTTTTTGGTGGCAACCTTTTTTGGCCAGTCTGTGTATTTTATAGGTTGTAGGTTGACTGACTTTCATATCTGTTTTATGTTTACAGAAGATTACAACTGTTTGGTTTCTCCAGCTTACTGCACTTGTCTCCAGACGCCCGTGGCTGCTTCACTGGATTTATTTATTTATTCATTCATTCATTCATTTCAGTTAAAACAAGACTTATTCCATACAAATAAAATAAGATACATTTAAAATGAAAGGCAGCAAAAGAAGAATGAATTCTTATAATTTCTGCCCCTTCTAAACAATATCAATTCAAAACAATCTATTCAAACAATACATAATATAGTGATTTTTCCACGCACTGATGTTTGGGGCACAGTCCCTGAGCACTTGAGTCAGTGGCATGGTTAATTAGCCACACACCTGGGTCTGGACCATAACTTTTAAACCAAATACTCAATTTAAGTTTAAATTAATTTCTTAAAATAGTTTCTTCATTTTGCTTGTTTGCAGCCCATTTACCAGTACTTTGTGAATTACAGTATATAATTTAGATATTTAGTTGGGCTGACATTTATGACTACTTTTATTTCTGTATTATTCTGTATTTATATACTACTAGTTGGTTGATGCATTTCATTGAGGTATTATATTTGTAATTTCATGCTGCTGTGTTCATACTCATCTGCTCACACTCATCTGCAAACTCTTATTACTGTTTTTCAGCTTGCTTGGGAGAGGTTGCTTATAAATATATATATATTTTAATTAATCTTTAATTGATGAGAATAAAAATAACACCAGGTTCCTTTTCCGGACCATATCTAGAAATATCCAATCTCTCTTGATTCATGTATCCCTATCTTACAAATATAAGCAGCGATGACTATATAAATAAACTGAACTGAATAAATATTTCTGTTAACAATGTCTTACTGTATCCTGTCTTATATTGTATATCACTATTTATTGTTTGTAATGTATTATTTGGTAATGTATTGTTTCCATTTATTTTTAGAGGGATTACAATGTAAATAAGATAATGATAATGTAAATTGTTTTAACCTGAATGTAAATATTAAACACTGTAAGGATCACTTTGCGACCGTGCGAAGCGAGGGAGCCAGAAGTGCACAGAAGACAAATGAAATATAAATGTACATTTATATTTAACGTGTACATACATATACAAACGTACATTTATATGTACATTTATATACTTGTATATGTGCATGTATTGTAATATGTACATATAATATTATATCTTCTATCAAAAGGTCTATAAAATCATCTATTTCAATTTGTAACTTCTCATAAAAAGAAACTGTCCAGATGACCTGACTGAAAAATGTTGGATTGTATACCTGGATTATTGAGCATGGACTTTGTTGTTTTCATAAGCCATTTCATTTGTTAGCAAGCTAAGCTATAAACACAAAATTACCCCTTTTTTCCTATGAAGCTGAATCCATAGCTACCAGAAAACTGCAACTAAACATAACCACATTCAACATAAAATAATAAAACGATACAAACCTATAATATGCAGTTGGTTGGGACTGAAAGCTGCATCTAAGACTTGGTTTCCTTCAGGTTTTTCCTGTTCGAGAGCTGCGCTACTTCCAAAACCCTCCGACATTTCTTCCTCCTCTGCATCCAGGTGCTGTTTAAGCTGCTGTCTCCACTTCTCTTCCGTTCATCAACATTTACCGAGTTTTTACAGCTGAATATAACTTTAAACTACAATGACCAGCAACAGAGAAGAAAATAGATGAGCGCCTCACACCACAGGAATATATCACAGCGAAAAATGCGAAAGAAACAGAACAGCTTCCGCTCGCTGCAGTGAGTCATTTCCGTTATCAACTGGCTTTCAAAATAAGAGCTCAAAAGGAACTGATCTTCAGTACTTGTGTGCGTTCACAGAGCAACTTGTATATTTCAGTGAATTCAGACCTATCTAATCCAATTTAAGAATAATTAGTATTTACTTGTAAAAAGGTGAAGTAAACTCTTTGGGTAATTAAAACTCAGGGTATAACCATATTTAATTTTTGTTTGTTTAAACGTAAATATCCATCCATCCATCCATCCATTCTTTTACTCGCTTCTTCCTTTTTGGGTCATGGGGGTCTTCTTCTTCTTCTTGTTTTATTGGCGGTTGGCAAACAACTGAAGGAAGCATTACCGCCACCGACTGGTAAGGAGTGTGGACTGCATGACCAAAAAAGGAAGAAACAAAAAAAAAAAAAAAAAAATAATAATAATAATAATAATAATACTAAACCCTCTCTTTCCTTTTAAATCTTATCATACAACCTACACCGTTTTAAATAATAAAATATAGCTTGATAGCCTCTGTTTCCTGAATCTTTCTGCAATAATTCAATAATGTCTAATTTCATTTTCATTTTACTAAGATGTCTAATCAACTTGTTTCTTTGAACCTGGTATCTCCTGCAATGCAATATAATGTGTTCTATGGTTTCCTCTTCTCCACACTCACATGTCCCTGTTTGATGTTTCCCTATTAAACATAACGTGCTGTTCAGTCCAGTATGCCCAATTCTGAGTCGTGAAATAATCGTTTCTTCTCTCCTGTTTCTTTCAGTTCTTCTCCTTTCTCCAATTTTCCTTTGGATTTTATAAAACCACCGGCCTTTCCTTTCTTCCTCCCATAATTTTTGCCACTTTTCTTTCATTTTTTGTTTTATTATACCCTTTATTTCTGTTATACTAAACCCAACATTAATATCAACCACGTCCCGACCAGTGCTCTCCTTAGCCATCCTGTCTGCCTTTTCATTCCCCAAAACCCCGTGATGAGCTGGAACCCATATAAAGTTTACTGTAATCCCCATCATGTTGATCCTATAGAGTGTTTGTTGTATTTCAATTAATATATCTGGTCTACTATCTGACTGGTTGTGTTGCAAAGTGGACAATGATGAACTAGAATCTGAGCAGATGATTGATTTTAATGGTCTTACCTCTTCTACCCACTGAACTGCTAAAAGTAAAGCGAGCATTTCTCCTGTATAAACTGATACTCCATCATTAACCCTTTTTCCTACTTTAATATGAAATTGTGGTACTATGAATGCTATCCCAATTTTATTAGTTGTATTTTTTGATGCGTCTGTGTATATATGTACATAATTATAATACTGGTTAATGTATTCCTGTACTGTATATTTATCCATAATAAAAGATTTATTCTTGTTTTTCTTTTCTAATAATGAAAAATCTACTATAGCATCAAGAAGTACCCAAGGTGGTGTTGTTGGTAATGGAACTTTCTGACATATATCTATTTGATCTAAATGGATTTCATTAACTTTGGCTTTTATCATCCACCCAAAGCTTTTGATTTTTTCTTTTTCCCAACCTGATTTAAGCACCTCTAATGTTGGATGATCATTTCTTTGTCCTTGTAAATTTGTCCAGTAGTTCAAAGATAGCTGTTCCCTTCTAAATTTAAGAGGCATTTCTCCCATTTCAACCTGTAATGCTGCTGTTGAAGACGTTTTAAAAGCACCTGTACATATTCTTAGTGCCTGGTATTGGATATTATTTAACTTATTGAGGTTTGTATCTGCTGCTGAGTTGTAACATATGCACCCATAGTCCAAGACTGACCTAATTAATCCAGTATAAATGGCTGTCAATGAATTTCTATCAGCTCCCCACTCAGTTCCAGCTAAACACCTCATTATATTTAACACTTTCCTACATTTATCTATTATTTTCTTAATGTGTATACCCCATGTCATTCTTTCATCAAACCACAACCCGAGAAATTTAAATTCTTTAACTCTTTCCAACTCTTGACCATATAATTTTAGCTTGATTTTCTCATCAACTCTTTTCCTTGTAAAAAACATTATTTTAGTTTTATCTACAGAAAATTTTATTCCCCATTTATACGACCATTTTTCTACAACTGAAATTGCTCCCTGAAGCTTCTTTATAATAAATTCTAGATTTCTTCCTCTTTTCCACATTGCCCCATCATCAGCAAAAAGTGAAAATCCCATTCCACCCTCTACTTCCTTATACATATCATTAACTATCACTGAAAATAATAATGGACTGACTATACTACCCTGTGGTGTCCCATTTTCTATATTACAACTCTCAGAATAATCCTTCCCTATTCTCACTTGTATTTGTCTTCCTTCTAAAAAAGTCTTAATCCATCTAAACATATGACCATTTATACCCATTCTTCTAATTTTGATTAATAATCCTTCCCTCCACATCATATCATACGCTCGCTCTATATCAAAAAATACTGCCACAACACTCTCTTTATTCACTTGAGCCTTTCTAATTTCATGCTCTAAACATAAAACTGGGTCCATTGTACTTCTCCCTCTCCTAAAACCACTCTGATACTTTGACATAAGTCCTTTATTTTCCATATAGTATATTAATCTTTCATTTATCATTTTCTCCATTATTTTACATATATTGGATGTTAATGCTATAGGTCTATAATTTTCTGGTTTTGACTCATCTTTCCCTGGTTTTCTAATTGGTACAATCACTGCTTCCTTCCAACTTTTTGGAATTTCCCCATCCTCCCATACTCTGTTATATAATTCTAATAGAATATTTTTAGATGATCTACTTAAATTACTTAGCATCGCGTAACAAACCTGATCTTTTCCTGGAGCTGACAATTTATATTTTTTAAGTGCCCTGTTCAGCTCTGTTATTGTAAACAGCATGTTCAGTGAATCATTTGTGTTTTCTATTTGCTCCAATACCTCTTTGTTTTCTAAAATTGTATTTTCTCTTTCTTTTTTCCCTTCTTCACTAATATTTTCAGAACTATGAATTTTAACGAACGTATTTACCAACATTTCTGCCTTTTCTCCGTCTTTCACTGCTGTTAACTCTCCATCATTTAGTATTGGGTATCCATTCACTCTTTTAATCCCATTCATCCTTTTGATCATTGTCCATACCTTAGAAATGTCTGTCTCCCTCCCTACTGAATTACAAAAACTTCTCCAATAATCTCTCTTTGCAGTTTTAATAGTTCTTCTTACATTTGCTTGCAGTTTCTTGTACTCATTCAGATTCTGAAAGTTATGATTTCTTTTTAATAATTTGAAAGCTTTATTTCGGTTCTTAATTGCTTTAGTACATTCTGTTGTCCACCAGGGTACCAACTTTCTTTCCCTTTTCCCTCCTTTCTTCCTTATAGCCTGATTGGCTGCTTCAAGGATAGCATTACATACAGAAGAATTAAAGTTGTCAGTACTACCACTTATATCTACATTTTGCATTTTTATTTCACTACTATTCTGATAAGTTTTCCAATCTGCAGATCTAAAACACCATTTTTCCATCCCATTTATACAATACTTTTCTATTTGTAACTTTATTTCAGTCATGATAGGGTGATGATCACTTCCTATAGTTGTTTTATTGATTACTTGCCATAAACAAATACCTGCTAGAGAATCTGAAACTAATGTTAAATCAATTGCTGACATTGTATTATCTCTAAAATTAATTCTCGTTCCACTCCCATCATTCAAACATACCAAGTTTGTAGCATCCATTATTTCTTCTATTATAGCTCCATTTTGATCATTATGATTACTCCATAATGAGTTATGCCCATTAAAGTCCCCACACCAAATCACCTTACCCTCTAAATATGTCCCAAGTTCCTCCATTAAGTCTAATGTAAGTTTTTTACATGGATTATAAAAATTTATTATTTTAAATTGTCCATTTATTGTCCAGATTTCAATAACAATATATTCTAACTCTCTTCCTTTAGCTAAAACTCTAAATTGAATCCCCTGTTTAATGAATGTTATACATCCACCTCCAGATCCTCCCTCTCTGTCTCTTCTAATGTTTTCATATCCATTTATAACAAAATCAAGGTTTGGTTTAAGCCAAGTTTCCTGAATGCATATAATATCTATATCTTCTTTGAATTCTTTGATAAATCCTTTAAACTCCTGCCCATTTGATATTAGACTTCTAGCGTTCCACTGTAAGATGATCAGTTTGTTCTGTCTTCTGGTCCTCCTGTCTTCCCTTCTGCTCCCAGTCTCTTATTTATGTGCTCCCAGGATATATCCTTTATACCAAAAAACCTCTCTGCCCCTTTCACAATTATTTTGATTTTTTCTGTTTTGTGTTTTACTTGCTCTGTACAATTAATAACATATGCAATGAACAACATGATCTTTTCTACTGTTAGTTCTGTGTCAGGTCCAGTCTGCCTTTGTTCTGGTGTTGGTTTTGGCTGAACTTTACCTGGCACCTCTTTTGGCTTCTTCACTCTCTGAACAGCTTCTGCATAACTTATATTATTAGTGACTTTGACTTGTTCGATTTCCACTGCTCTTTTCCTGATTTCACAGCCTCCATAAGTGACTCTGTGTTGTCCTCCACAGTTACAACAAGTATCCTTTCCATTTTTACACTCCTCATATCTATGTTCCCCTCCACACTTTGGACATCTTTGTTTTCCCCTACATGCTGCTGCGATGTGTCCGTACCTCTGGCATTTATAACACCTGAGAGGAGGAGGGATGTACGGCCTAACAGGGAAGCACATACATCCTACTTTGATCCTTTCAGGGAGAACAGCTGCTTGAAACTCCAACATCACTGACAGACTTTCCTTTCTTTCACCTTCAACAGTTCTCATCAATCTTCTAATTTTGCTGACTTCACCTCCATAAATGCTGTGTCTAAATTTCTCCAGATCTTCTCCCACCGGAATACCTGTTATCACTCCTCTAGCTACCTTAGTCTCTCCCAAAATCTTGATTTCACTCACTACTTTTTTACAGATACTCTGAGTTTTCATTACTTTGTTTTTCTGCTCTTCGTTTCTCACTGTTAACAACAGGTTCCCGTCTCTAAGAGTTTTAGCAAGTGTCAGCTCTCCAAACTTCTTCTTTAATTCTTTTGACAGCACTAACGGACTTAATTGAATTCCTTCATCCTCCTTTCTAAACTTTATGATCAATTTGGATTCTTCCCTAACAACCCTCTTACTAACCACATTGTTTTCCTCTGAACTGTTTTCTTCTAGACTCCTTTTATTACTTTGCAAAGTGTCTTCCTTTCTATTTCTCTCTCTTCCTGACACTTTACCTCCACGCACCTGTGTCCACTCACCTAACTCCATCTCATCATCCCCTTCACTCTCACCTTGAGACGTCATAGCAGTCCAGTCACAAACCAGTTTTATGCCAACCGCCCAAAACTATTGTGTTGATTCAGCTCTCTGTCGCGCAGCTGGTTTGCAACAGACAAGCCTTCCTCCAACCGGGTCATGGGGGTCACTGGTGCCCATGTCTAGCCATCACTGTGTGAGAGGCGGGGTACACCCAGGACAGTCTCCAGTCCATCACAGGGACACATAAAGACAAACGAGACAAACAACCATTCACTCTCTCACTCACACCTAGGGACAATTTTAGATTTACCAATTAGCCTAACATGCATGTTGTTGGTCTGTGAGTACCCGGAGAAAACCCACGCATGCACGGAGAGAACATACAAACTCCACCCAGAAAGGCCCATGGACCAGGATTATTGAGCAACCTGATTGCCGAGAGACAGCAAAATTCAGTTTTTGAAATTTAATCTTTGTTGATCAGACATATAAAAAACATAAATGATTTTATTTATTCCCCAACATCCTACTGAGCATGTCAGCATTTTTTTCGTATAAAGCACCTTGTTTTTAGTTCACTCATTTTCATTTATTTGTTTTAAACATATATATTTTTGTCATCTGATGTCCTTGACCATGTTAACAGATATTAACAGATATTAACATACATATTAACAGATATTTTGCCAGCAGTCTTTTTTTCTTAATAATTGGGTTTGGGTTCAGGTTTTTTTAAACAATAACATATGTTTATAATTTTGTAAGAAAAAATAATTTAAATTAACATTAAATTGTACTTTTAAACAATCTGTCAATCCCTGTGTCCTTCACAATGACATAAAGGTGTTACAGGAAGTTAAGTCATGCTCAGTCTGCAACCTGAGTCAATAAGTTGATTTTTTTTGACTATATTTAAGTTGCTTTCTCACATTGCTTCATTTAATGTCAGAATTTTAATAATCTAATATTTTTATTTTGCTTTCACTTATTTATATTTTGCTTCCCTCATCCCAGAATAATTACGATATTTCACATTTTAGTATCTGAACATTTTCCTAATCCATCAATCGATTAACCTTTTGCTAAAAAAGAAAAAGAAAAAAGAAAGAAAGCTTGAATTATTCATCCATAACTCTTTGGGTGATTTGTTTACATGTAAAGAAACCTTCCTAAATGTGAAGTACATCGTTCTTTACGTTAATTTGATGTAAAATCAAGAGTTTTGACAAGCTTTAGAACCGTAAGAGTGACGAGCATAAACTAAGCTAACATCTGAGCTAGCCTAACTTTATTATTGTCGTTTATGTTTATTACTTATTTTTGTTACAGATCACTTCTTTTTTCTCTCGGCTGCTCCCGTTTCAGGGGTCGCCTCAGAAATATGTCCTCACTGTAACAATATTTCTTCTCTTTGTCTTTTTCTGGGCAGCTGCATTTAATAATAATAATAATAATATTTTCCCAGGTACTCAGGTTTCCTCCCACAGACCAAAACATGCATGTTAGGCTAACTGGTAACTCTATATTGCCCTTAGAGTGAGAATGTGAATGGTTGGTTGTTTCAGTTGTCTCTATGTGTCCCTGTGATGGATTTGTGAACTGTACAGGGTGTACCCCGCCTCTCACACAGTGGCTGGACATAGGCACTGGCAACCCCCGTGACCCAAAATGGAAGAAGCGGGTAAAAGATAATGGATGAATGAATGGATGGACTTTGAACTTTTAGGGGCAGAGATTTGAGTTGCCAGATCCGAGCAGACTGTTGCCGAAACACGGCCTGTCAAAATGAGAGTTCCCGGAACTTGTTCTGGCACAAAATAACCACTGACCCAGACTTACTGGACCAATGCCTCATTACTGAGGATGAGGCCAAATACATCAACTGATCCATCTCCTGCTCCATACCATCATTTGTGAACAGAACACTAATATATGTCAACTCATACACCTGAGGCAAAGGCTCCTCCCAGTGGAATACCACCTGGAGGGGGCATTCCACCTGTTCTGCAAAGTACTTCATCTTTACATAACACACTTTACCCTTTTTAGAACACTGCCATTTCTATCTGTACCAATCCTAACCTGCCACATATTCTTTGCAGCCTAATCCCTGTCTTGTCAGTTGATACAAGTCATTCTCTCCCCACTTATGCTGCTTTGCCATTGGTAAGTGTGGCTCCACTCCACTCAACTCTCCTTGGTTATTCCCAGTTGTAGGTAATTTGCCATTACAGTGGAGGTTGACCTGCTTTGCCGCACTGTGGGAGGGATCCTTAGTGCAATTTGGGTGGTATTGTAACTGGTCTTTTTTTATTTGAGCCACTCAGCTCATTGTGGTCTTTAATTGCCCTATAATCTGACCTCAGTTTCTTTAGCTTATCTCTGCACTGACTATAAGTCCGGGTGTTGCCATCCTGTTCCATTTTTCCATTATCTCTCAATAAATGCGCTAATTTCTTGTGGCGCCCTCCGTCAACACGAGGAAGTGGAGGTTTAGAAGTCATTTGCAGTTTTGCTGGGCGAGTCATCCAGTGATGTAGCTTTGCTAGCCAATCAATGGCTGCTGTCTGCTTAAATCAAAATTGGTCCCTCGGTGCAACCCGCTTGAAATCACGAACAAGGAGGTCCCATACACCAAGCTGAGTGGGGTGGATACAGACAGTGGAGAGGCACTTAACTGGGGCCATGTCATGCAGAACCGAGTTGAGACGGTGGAAAAGTGACAATAATGTCCAAACTATTTTTGTAATATAGACATACAAAATACAGAGAACAACTTTAAAATCAGTTGGTATGTAGAAAATATTTAACATTTTTTATTGATTCAGAATTTAGGTACATCAAAGTTTCTTACATACTTACAGATGCAGTCTGTTGTTATGATGAACTTTACAATATGTGTGAAAGTATACATGTATAAAATAGATTTTTCCTACTGTGTTGCTTCATGCCTTTGAGTTATTTCAAATGACTTTTTCCCGCAGTGTGGATTCTCATGTGTCTGTTTAAATTACCCATTCTGGTAAACATTTGTCCACACAAATCACAACAAAATGGTTTCTCTCCTGTGTGGGTTCTCATGTGTCTGTTTAATTGGTATTTTAGGGCAAACTTTTGTTTACAACGATCACAAGAAAAGGGCTTCTGTCCAGTGTGGATTTTCATGTGATTCTTTAAAATGCTGGTTTGAGAAAATCTTTGTTCACACAGATCACAAGAAAAGGGTTTCTGTCCTGTGTGGGTTATCATGTGTTTCTTTAAACTGCCCTTTAAAGAAAACCTTCGTTCACACAGATCACAAGAAAATGGTTTCTGTCCTGTGTGGGTTTTCATGTGATCCTTTAAACTGCAGGTTCGAGAAAATCTTTGTTCACACAGATCACAAGAAAAGGGTTTCTGTCCTGTGTGGGTTATCATGTGTTTCTTTAAACTGCTCTTTTCAGAAAACCTTCGTTCACACAGATCACAAGAAAACGGTTTCTGTCCTGTGTGGATTCTCATGTGATTCTTTAAATTGCCCTTTTCAAAAAACCTTTGTTCACACAGCTCACATGAAAATGGCTTCTGTCCTGTGTGGATTCTCTTGTGTTTGTATAAACTGCTCTTTACAGAAAATCTTCTGTCACACAGATCACAAGAGAAGGGTTTCTGTCCTGTGTGGATTCTCATGTGATTCTTTAAATTGCCCTTTTCAAAAAACCTTTGTTCACACAGATCACATGAAAATGGCTTCTGTCCTGTGTGGATTCTCATGTGTTTGTATAAACTGTTCTTTACAAAAAACCTTCGGTCACACAAATCACATGAAAATGGCTTCTGTCCATTTTTGTCCACAGCATTTCCATCTAACTCAGGGATGCTGCTGGGAAAAGACTCCCAGTCTTTATCAGTGTCTTCAGTTTTTGACCCACAGTCTGATATGTTTTTCTCGTGAAAGTCAGGATTATTCACATCATCATCCTCACTGACTTCAGTTTCTGAGGAGTCAGAATTGTCTTCACAAGTATTTAGATCTGGATTTTTGGTAGTTTCTGCTCCTCCACCAGTTGCTGATTCTATGTGGTCAGCTGAGCTTCTGGTCAGAAGAGCTCTGACTTCATCTTGGTGTTGATGAAGCTGTGAGAACAGAGGTTTCTCTTCATCATCCTCACTCTTCAAAGGAACTGAAGTGAATAAAAAGCTGGTGACATCTGTTTCCTCCTTCACATTGAGTGGCTCTCCCCCTAGACTGGTCCACTGTTCCTCCTCTTTTATGTGGAGGAAATTTACATCCTGCTGGTCCACATCAGGCCACTGTTCTTCAGGAGCTTCTTCTTTAACCAGTACTGACTTCTGAACATCTGCAGGAACCACTGGAACACATGTAAAATACAGTAAGGAGAACTGTAGCTTTATATTCAAATACATCATTTGTTTTAATGCTCAGTTTAATGAGTTTTTTTCTTTATAATTCAGTTCCAGTGCTAAACCAGAGCCAGAACTCTTAGCACCAGCACTTTCATTTCCCTACATGGTGAGATCTGGATTTAAAAGGGATCTCAGACTATTTGCACATGTTGGCCTTAATATAGGATTTCTCTATTCTACTTAAAGCAATTGTAAGAGCTACTGTATTTATCTTGTTTCTCTGTGTTTATCTCCACTAGGGGCTGTATTTCATTGTGTGTACTGAGTATGTTGGGAGAGGGAGGTGGTTACTTAAGACCAGGTGTGATTTTGTTCAAATGTTGCTAATGAAAAGGGGTAAAAAGTTTACTACTGTGCTTAGTTTAGAGTTAGAGCAGATTAATTTGTTTCTAAATGGAAATGGCAAGGCAAATGAACATTGTGAAGGAAATAAATGACTTTATGAGTTTTAAGTCTAAATTAATATCTGCGTATCTTGATTGAGCACATGTAAAGCTAAAAGCCTACCAGGAACAACAGCAACCAGTAGCCTAAAATATAGGATTTTAGTTGCTACAGATATTGTTTGTGACAAATGAAAACTCCTAATTGCTTTAAAAAAATTATTGCTGTTTATTACTGATAGAAATACCTCATCTTATCTAGACTGTGACCCTGGGTTTTTGATCTGCTCAGAGACAGATTGTAATAAGATTATGACCCGGTTCTGACCGGTTTAAACAGGGCCGGACCTTCGTCCCTCCAACCGATGATAGTTGACTTTTGAGGAAAAATCAGCCTCTCAGTCACCGGCGCATCTCAGGCCTTGCTAGTATCACTTTAAGCAGCTGTGGAACATTCTGACATCTCGTTTTGGTGAGAGACTCTTCAATGCACTTTCTGGTGATCATGCATCATGATAATCTTATCAGACAACTACAGCTCATTTTAGACACAATTTTAACTACTCCACAAACAGACCCAGTCCAAAAATCAGTCCAAAAATTCTGCCTTTTTAAGTTTCACTGATTTGAATAATCAAGTAGACCTTTGATACAAAGCTATTTGTTATTAATTTGTTTGTTATGCATAATATGGGGGCCGAGATGGTGTAGGGCAGCCGGCTTGGGACCCACAAGTCCCAGGTTCGATCCCCAGTCACTGCACATCACGTGGCGTCTCTGGGCAGCACACCTCATCCCCAAAATGCCCCCCGGGCGCTTTCAATAGCTGCCCACTGCACCACCTGGTGGTGGGTGGGTTAAATGCAGAGACTAATTTCGCCATTGTATGGAAACATATAGTGCTGACATTGTGATGACATTATTATTATTATTATAATCTTCATCAGATATATCACAGATTATTAATTTTTGTAATAAAATACATCAAATCAACTAAATTTGTGATGATTTTGGCATATCTGTGTGTATTAACTGATTTGATGCCCTTTAAACACAAGAAAAGATTTCACGTTTCAGTTTACATTTAATTTGGGGTTAGAGACTGATTTTTCCTCTGAAAAGCGGTGGTGCCCACACACAATGAGGTTATTTGCATAATAAATGCATATCTTATGAGCTTAACTCATAACTGATGATTTACAATATATATCCAGCCCCATTATCCCTCTACACGTTACTTCGCTGTATATGTCACATCCATTATGCGTCACCGCTGATGCATCGCGTTTTTAACACATTGAATAAAGAATTTAATAAAATGTTGTTTTTCTGACTATTTAACCTGTGATATAAAGTGTTTTTGGTACATGTTATTGTGAGTCACGCGAGAGGCCTGAGGAGGAGGCTTGCCCCCCACCCCTGCACGCTATCTCGAGGTTTCTCACCCTATTTCAAAGTTTCTCACAGTTTTTCACGCTATCTCGAGGTTTCTCACGCTATTTTGAAGTTTCTCAGTTTTTAGTCCAGGTGGGCATGTTTTGTTCACCGGGAGATGCTCTCACACGATGTGGAAAGGGGAAGAGTATTAAAGAAAGAGAGCGCTCAGTCAGAGTTGGAGTCGACCGTGAGTCTTTGATCCAGACGTCCGGTGTTGTGTTGGTGTTCTGCTCCACTAGGGCAGTGCGGCTCTCCGGTCTACGTGTTACGGTGAGGGCTCCTTTTTACATCAATACATGTGAGATTGTACATTTGAGTGTACTGTTGAAGCTTGGCTTTTTGCTGTATCTGTGGCGGAATAATAAATAACACGAATTAATCTAGCAGGACAGTGTGTGTGTGTATTTTGTTCTTGTGCTGATCATTCTTCCGAGTCCTGGTTTTTATTTAAGAACAAATATCATAAAACACATGTCATTGCTGGCAACCTGGAAATGTGGGCCAAACCCAGAAATGTGGGTTGGTTTTGTGCCAAAAATTGATTGTCTGCCAAATGGCGGCCGAGGGAGCGTGCACGGGAGGACTTTAACAAGAATTTAACAAGACTAACACTTTAAAACAATTATTTGTTTGCTCAAAATTATAGCAAACGTGTGTCTCAGTCTAACTTTTCCTTAATAAATGCACTTTGACGGTCAAAGCGTTGCCCATCAGATGGTAGGAAGGCTTTCCCCCATTAGCTCATAAGAGTCCTGAGGTCCTCGGACACTCCATCAAAGCTCACCAGACCTAGGAAATCACCATACCATGCCATTTCATACCATTTTATTTATAGAGCACTTAAAACAGCGACAAGGCCAACCACAGTGCAGTACAGACATAAAAACAGGCAACACACAAAGCAATATACAAAATGAGGTAAATCAGAATACAGACATAAAAACATTACAGATACAAAATATGACGACTAACCTGTGTGAAGCATACAAGTTCAAAACACAGATCCTCTGGTGTTGAAAGCTACGGAATAATAGTGGGTTTTTAAATGGGATTTGAAAACCGAGAGGGAGGGGGCCTGTCTGACAAGCAGAGGTAACTCGTTCCAAAGTCTTGGTCCTGCTACAGAGAAGGCCCTGTCACCACTGCGCTTAAGACGAGTTCCTGGAACTGTGAGGAGAAACTGGTGCGCTGACCTCAAGGAACGTGGTGGGACATATGGCTGTAGCAAATCAGAGAGATGGGGGGGGGGGGGGGGGGGGGCTGTTCAGCGATTTGTAAGCATACAGGAGTATTTTGAAATGGATTCGACGGAGAACCGATAGCCAGTGCAGTGAGGCCAAAACTGGAGTAATGTGCCCTCTTTTGCTTGTACTGATTAAAAATCGGGCTGCTGCATTCTGGCTAAGTTGTAGTCGTGCAATGGAGGTCTGACTGATACCAAACAGGAGCGAATTGCAGTAATCAAGCCTAGATGTAATGAATGCATGTATTACTGTCTCCAGGTTATTTTTGGACAATATGGGCTTCAGTTTAGACAGCTGCCTCAGTTGGAAGAAACATGATTTAACAATCATGTTTACATGATTGTTAAGTTTCAGGGAAGGGTCCATTATCATGCCCAGATTAGTGACTCTTTGTTTTTCTGACCGGGTTAGAGTGGAGAGGTCGATGCAGTGGTTTGTGATTGTGTTGTTGGGAGGGAATATCATGACTTCAGACTTCTTTTCATTGAAACTTAATAAATTTAAAGCCATCCAGTCCCTGATGTCAGCCAGGCAGTCGAGCAGAGGTTGAATAGAGTATGTACCATTGTGTCTTAGGGGGAAGTAAATTTGACAGTCATCAGTATAGAA